GGTATTGATCCATAGCCACATGTCTTTACCATCAAATGTTTTTGGGGCTTTCCTGCAGTTTCCATCCATTTCATTCCATTTTTCAGGCTTCCACTGGCACCATTGTTGCGAAGCTATCCCTGGCTGGAATAGCAAGGCCCTGAGCACGGTTGAAGCGTTGAAACTCTTCAGAAGTTCCCCTCAAAGTCAGACTTCATCTCATGAAATACTAGTTGCTTGATCAGTTTCCCTACTTTGGGTATCATAACTAAATAAATTAGATAGTTTTAATGGCTTATTTGGGGCATGCCCATAAAATTCTCTGAACATTGCAATATTGATGGGAAAATGAGATTCTAGACGATGAGATTTGGGGATACTTCCCCTTAATTTTCAGACAACCCAGCAGTTCTGTTTCATCTCTCGGGATAATAAATGGGGTGTATACCCCTGAAATGGTCATTTCAATTGGGAAACCAATGACAACCCATCAAGTTGAGGGGCATATGTTCAAACAAACCCATTGAAAGACAAGTTGCAAATGTGTACGTGCACACCCTCTTGTACCATACTCGATATTTGCTGTTAGGTACTACCGTATCTCAAAGAATCATTGTGGTGTTAATTCCCATCAATTCTAACCAAGTCTAAGCAAGTTTAGCCATTTTGCCATCAATATGTCGTTGAATTTCATCATTCTTTGAGCTCTTCCCATTTTGGATATCTTTGGTAGTTTAACAGTTTGCTATGGCTTTTGGAGGGACCATTTAGTTCGATAGCTTCTGGAACTTTCAAAGGATGACTTTCAATGACTTACCAGAGGGTATATTCCCATTGATCAGATTTTTTGATGAAGAATTTTAATTAATCTCAATGTTTCATGGCTAATTTCAATTTCTGATGGTTATATCCCCCTAAACTACTAGAAGGTAGATAAAGTCAACAGTGTCTAGGTTGATGCTGATATAGTTTCCCTGAATTTCCCAATGTTTCCCATGGATTTTCGAATATGTTCCCCATCATTTTCCCTTGAAACCATGGGAAAAAATAGCCCATGTTGGATCACATGTCGCCTGCGTCCCGTCGCTGTCCATTCCGGCTGGCGCCAAAGTGACGGACGAAGCGAGCGCATCGGCCTGATGTGGTCCATCGACCCCGGGCCCAGAGTTTCTTGTGTCAATGAATCAATCTGGAGGAAAACATCTATCATTCATATCCCATAGGATCCATGTATGCTATATATGGTAACATGGATCCCATCAATATACCCCCTTTATGTTAGCATTAATATAGCATACATGGATCCTATGGGATATATCATTCACGTTAACGGATGATCTGACATGATCTAACTTGATCTAACAGAAGTCAGTCAAGCATCTGTTGGACATAGATATCAACCATGGCAGCGCCATGGATTCCCATCGGATTCCATCGGCCAACTGGGGGTGTACACGGTGTAGCGCTGAAATGAACCAGTTGAGTTGTGATTTTATGGGGCTTTTAACATCTAACCAGTGGATAGACTATCTTAGAGCGGGGCAAGATGGGGCAAGCCATGTTCAGACCTTAAAATGCTTGGTTCATGTTGGTTCATTGCCGCCAGACCCATTTGTGTACACAGAGTCCCTGAAGATCGCCCATTTACTTCGATGATTTACCTACAATGACTGGTTGGTGGTTGACCTACCCCTCTGAAAAATATGAGTCAGTTGGGGTTACTATTCCCAACATATGGAAAAATAAAAAATGTTCCAAAAACCACCAACCAGATGATGATTTTTCGATCTTCCGCGCCCCATGGCGTCATGGCAGAATCCTCCAAAGTCCTCTGCCTGGGAGGCCAAATATGGAGGCTCTGTAGCCTCAGATCTCAGACGAGCTGAGCACTGGGTCCAACATCTGCTTGGTGATGTCTTCAAATATCTTAAAATCTTGATTTGGATGTGGGTCAAAATGGAAGACCTAGGGGACGGCAGATGTTAGTCTAGTTTAGTATTAACCATCCAATTATTGGGGTACCTAATTTTGACCCATACCCATTTTAAGAGAATAACTCCAAGTTAAGCCAAGGGTTGGAAACTCATTGGTTAATATTTCATAGTATTCCTATGTTTGCTAATCCGTTGATCCTCAATAAAGCACTTAGTGTAGCGCGCAACAAATTGGAGCATGCATGGTTCCAAAACCCTGGTCAGCAAACAAGATTTCCTACCATTCAGTAAACTAACATGACTATGGAAAATCACCATTTTTCATGGGGAAATCCACTATAAATAAACTAACTAACATAACTATCCAGTAAACTAACATGACTATGGAGAAAAAATCTGTTCGGTAAATCATATTGAACTCAAAGGGCTATATTGAAACCACAGCGCAAAGTGCAATTTATGCAATGATAGTTTAAAACATGATAGCAATGGACATGTCATTGCACATGAAGGAAATACGATAAACAAACGAGAATGACACTTGCACATGATTGCAGAATGAACAAAATGAAAATGACAATTTCACATGATCGGAGAATGATATGAAACAGGAAAAAACATGAAAAAACATCACAAAAAACATGAAAACATAATTCCTTGGTCCGGACTCAGTCTGTGGCTGTAAGATTCTCATAACCACAGCCATGTTAGTTTACCAGAGGGTTATTGGACGTTATTGGACGTCTGCCCATTTAAGATCCATTTGTCATTGGATTGCACATCCCAATCATCCCAATCCCTGCGAGACCTGAGCTAGAGACATGTGTGATATCTTCTGTTATAACAGAAGGTGCACAGCAGCCACATTGCCCCATGCCCAACCGATCCACCGATTACGTACGAAGAAACCAAAATGGATCAAAATGGATGGGCAATGTTACTGGGAAGTGATGAGGTTCTTTTTTATTGGAAAACCATGGGATTTTTCGGATACACCATGTTCAGACAAGGCGTTTGGATATTTTCTGCATCTGTTTGTTGGTGACTATCTGTTTGGGAAATTTCCAGAAAGGCTCATTGCTCAGCTGCTGGCTACGATGTTCAATTCATGGCATGCCTCTTCACGTTCAAAGATGTCCTGGAATCTTCTACTTACAAGTACCCTCTGGTAAACTAACATAACTATGGAAAGATCCACCATTTTCAATGGGTAAATCCACTATTTCTATGGCCATTTTCAATAGCTATGTTAGTCATTACCAGAGGGTATGTTCCACACAAGATATGCAGCTAGGACGTTGAGAGACTTGAACAGTCCAGCCATCTCTGGCTGAAGCATCCCCTCAATCAAACGTGCTTGCGAACGAACATCACCCATTTCGAGTGAATTGTCCCACACAAAAAACTTCCAAAAAAAAATTGGCCACACTGCCAGCCATGTTTGATGACACCTGAAATTATACTGTATAGTGGTTTATCACAAAAAAAAAACACATATTCGTGATGTATCAATTATGACATACAAAACCACATACAAATATGACATGGCTATGACTCAGTATTTCATCCCCAACCCCAGAGGGATTGGATGATCCCACCCCTTGAGGACGTCACGGTTTGAGGTCATGATTTGCATCCAGTGGGTGTATTCACCATTCTTCACCATTATTATTCACTATTGTTCACCATTATTGTTCACCACTATTATTCACCATGATATATATATATATGTATACAGACACCATTATATATACACCATTATATATACACCATTATATATACACCATTATGTATATATATATATATAAGTCAACCATTCTCTACTGCCTTGGCTCTCCAAGGCTATCCACGATCCCCGAACGCTCAGCCTTTTCGAACGCGAGAACTCGGCGCAAAAACGCAGAGGCGAACTGAGCCTTTAAGGCTCACCGCACGCGAACTGAGCCAAGAAATACCCCGGGTGAATGTTAAACATCACCATGTTTACCACATCATCCATATTTAACGATGGAAAATCACCATATTTCATGGGTAAATCAACGATTTCGACTGGGCCATGTTCCGATAGCAAACTGTTAGTTTACCCCTTAGGCAATGATGCTAACTGTTGATCTCCGTATTGGTGAACGTTCATCCCCATTAGACCATAGCAACCCCTCAAAAAGATGGGGGTTGCTATGGCTAACCCCGTAGAATTTTTCACAGACGTATATCATCGTATATCCATATCTTTGCGAGCTAAAGACCCAATACAACCCCGAATATCCCCTACCCTCTGGTAATGACTAACATAGCTATTGAAAATGGCCATTTATAGTGGATTTACCCATTGAAAATGGTGATTTTCCATAGTTATGTAAACGTTTACCAGAGGGTAATGTTGATGGTGAAATCCCACGTATTGACTCATCAATACGGGGTAAACTGTCATGGCTCCTACATGTTCAAAATCTAACAAAAAAACACCTCACAGGCGCAGGGCAGATGAAAAGGTGTCAATTTGGCTCTGAAATTGGAGCATAGCCCCCAAGCTCTCGAAATGTCATTTTTTGAAATAGATGGAACATATTATCTGAGAACAGCGGTGGCATATTTACATACCCTCTGGTAAACTAACATAACTATGGAAAATCACAATTTTTAATGGGAAAATCCACTATAAATAGCCATTTTCAATAGCTATGTTAAATTACTAGAGGGTACTATACTTTGGTATTTTGTTCCATCATTTTCCGACCCAACACATCATAACACATCTGCCACATCTGTTCCATCCGTCTTGACGCCTGTGATCTACCACTTCCAACATCCAGAGCCAGTTGCTGCTGCACTGAAGTCTGGATGCTTGACCGGAAGAGTGGCAGTTGGTGTGACGGGTAGCCGGCTGGTGGTTGAGCAAAAACAAATCGATCACTTGGCATCATGGGTGTGTCTTATTTTTTGGGAAATATCATGAAAATAATGGGGAAAATGATGATCACAGGATTTTTGCTGGTGTTCATCCCCAAAATTTTCAGACAAACCATGACAAACCCTCGTTCCCTAAGGTTTTTTTCGGATGCCACGGAAAATGCCCCCACCAACCAGTTACAAGATTCGGACAATGATTGAGATATCATCTGAGTATCCAGCCTTAGTGCGATCGAGGATCGATGAAGATCGATTCTGGATTTGGGTCCCACAAAATGAGAAAGAAAACGCTGGACTGGTTGGTGGTTTTAACCATCTTGAAAAATATGAAAGTCAATGGGACGGATGACATCCCATATATTATGGAAAAAAATGTTTGAAACCACCAACCACTGGATGATTTATCAACATGTCAATATGTCAGCATGCCAAACTAGTTCCACGCTTACAAAAACCAACTGATGAAATCAACTTCTGCACTTGGGAGGTCCGCAAATTCTCCCGCCTGCAACCCTCTGCGTCCCCACCGAGCATAAGCCTGGGAGGAAATCCACTGATGAACATCACTCTGATAAAGTATGACCCTACCAAGGAAAATGATCTGTCGTTGGCTGTTCCATATCTCATCCATATATTTTCAAGTAGCCTATTGATTTCCATGTATTTTCATGTATTTTTCCATGTACAGTATGTTTTTGGGGCATCAACCGCGCAACCCAGTGACACTGCGAACCGTTCAGCTGTGGGAACCCGAAAGGATCCAGGCCTCCTGTGACAAGACGTGGCCGGGATCAGTACCTTTCTCAAAGGACTCCCAGGCCATTGTGACCTGGAGAAAAGCCTGGGAGAACCTGGGGAGGAACCAAAAAAATCGATCTGGAGAACTGGAACATGATGAACATGATGGCAACTCCAGAATGGGGTATATGAGCTGTGTATTTATATATATATAAGGTGTGTGTGCAAAATCTGTATATATATATATATATATACACATTAGAAAATACTCATGTTTCACAGTCCTGTAATGTTGGGCCATGTGGGGATGATTCCCTATATATAAACATGTGTATATATATATATATAAACCATGATTCCAGTGAGGTCGCAGTGAGGGAATCCCAGTTTTTTCTGTGTCTGAAGATGGGCACAGCACTGCCACATTTTGAACGACTGCCAAATGGAGAAATGAGATTTTAACATGTTTTAACCTGGTTGGTGGTTTCAACCAACCCCTCTGAAAAATGATGGAGTGAAAGTCAGTTGGGATGATTATTCCATTCCCAATATATGGAAAAATAAAACATATTCCAAACCACCAACCAGTAGCCGATTGGGTTTTAGCGAGTAGATCATGTTGCCATTAGATTCCCCCAGTGGATTAACCTGCAATGGATCAGGTTCTGTTTTATCGTTGGTGAAGTCCCACATGACAATGGCTGGTTCTATTCAACTATAGCTTCTGGTCAAATGAACAAATCCCCTATGGGCAAACGGGGACCTTCAGAAGTGGAAAATCATGGGGAAAATCCAGCCATGTTTGACAGGCATCACTGCATCACTTTTAGGGGTGGTCCCCCACCTTTTGACCTCGAACTGACAGTTTTTGTTGGGTCAAAATCCCAACGCCTGTGCCATTAAACGCCACAAACATCGGGAAACATGTATGGCTTCCAAGTCTGTGGCAAGTTTGGTCAGTTCCCTCTGGTAATTTGACGACGGCTATGCTTTTTATGGCCCGTTTGAAAATGAATTCTCTACCTTGTGGGAAACGTTTACATAGCTATGGAAAATCACCATGTCTAATAGGTAAATGAACTGTTTCTATGGCCATCTTCAATAGCAAACTGTCAGTCATTACCAGAGGGTATATCCCATTAATATCCCATTGAATCACTATAAAATCCAATAAATATCCCAAAAATGATGCCAATCCCATGGCGATTTGTTACATTCGCAGAGGGCCAATCCTTGACATCATTGATGGTTGAATCCATCAAAAATTCTCATGGTGAATCCCAATTTGTTGATTGTTACCCTCCCGTTTCCCTTTGGTAAACTAACAGTTTGCTATTGAAAATGGTCATAGAAATAGTGGATTTTTCCATTAAAAATGATTTTCCATAGTTATGTAAACGTTTACCAGAGGGTAACCAACATAACTATTGAAAATGGCTCACAACATGAACGGTCTTCGCAATTAAAACTCTTTACAATAACCTTTAATTAGATCGATGATCGATCACCATATGTATATGATATTAATTATATATATCACCATATTAATTGTATTGGTTTACCAGAGGCCAATCCCCTATAATCCCCTTCGTGCTCCGACCGCTGTGAAGCTGTCGATGACATCCAAAAGCCCGTCGGAAGCAACGATGACGACCTGGGCGGTGCCATGGTGCCATGCTGAGGAATCCCATGGTATCCCACGAAAATGACCAGTGGGGATACCCCATGTTCAAACATGACTTGGATCAAAGATTCCGAGAGAAAACCTATGAAATCCCATGTTCACCACTATATCCCCACCATATCCCCATCAAATCCATCGAATCCCACTATATCTCCCCATGAAAATCACCATAATTCACCCGAAAATTCCTGAAATCACAAAAAAAAAAACCTCAGTTTCCAGCCGCTCGAGAGGAAGCATCCCATGAGCGCTCAATCAAATTCACCTCGTGGGGATGGAACGCCAAAATGTGGGGATACATGGCATGGGATAACCGTTTGACCATCCAATATTGGGGTAGAATGGGGATTCTGGGATATAATTTTACATGCGGTAAGATGTGCAAATCTGACTATGTGTTCCACTGTTGCCAGAAAAGGGTGGCGAAAAAAATCCCTCATTGGTCATAAGTGAGAACCCAAGAAAATGGAAATTTCTATTGTATCTGCATTTGAAAGCATCAGAATGCAGAGGCAATGGTTCAACAATCCAAAAATCAAGTAGTTCCTTGGGTAAACAAAACCGTACAATGCAATACTTCAATAAAGTGCTAAAATCCATCAAATCTGCTCGTTTTTTGCTGGTTTTGGCGTGGTAAACGCAATAACAAATTTCTGGCAAAATCTGAAACTATATATGAAATTGGGGGGGTGTTTATTTTTGGGTTTTTTATCTTATGTGTAAAAACTATGGAACATCACATTTTTTTTTACGAAGTATATCATCATGTTTATCAACTCTGGGCCATGGTTTCCAACTATCTATGTGAAAAACAAAAATTAGATAGGGATCATCATATGTATATATATATGTCATATATATGTATATAAATAATAATAATAATAATGCACAATATATATATACATACAATAAATGAAATATATGTTAGACCAAAAAAAAAGTGTATCATATGAAAATTTATATAGTTTAAATACATAAATATATATTACCAAATATAAATAATACATATACTATATAAGATATATAATGTATAATATATATAATGTATAAAAACATATATCATACATATTTAATATTTATTATAATATATATAATGTAAATAATTTAATATATATATATATAACAAAACAACATATATAAAATATACAGTATATATATATATACAGTACAAATATATATATATATAATCAATTTCTATATTACACTTATTAAACAGAAAATTAAAAAATATAATATACGGTATATGGTAAATAACTATATGTATATATATATAAAAGCAATATAAAAGACATAACTATGCAATATTTATATATATATACAAATAAATCGAAATATTAAATATATATATACATATTATGAATAGAACGTTTTAAATATTGTATATAATATATATATATTATACGAAATGAAAAATACATAATATATATATAGTATATAAAAAGTACCGGTTATATAAAAAATAAAGAATAGTTTGCTCCAATACAAAATAAAATATACAATAAACATATTTATTATATATCGAATATAAATAGTAGAAATAATATATAGTAAATAAATATAGTAAATAGAATATGTAAAATATAGACGATATATAAAACAAATAAATATATATATATACTAGATGATCTATAAAATACATACATATATATATATATAACTAACATTATATCCAACATTTTCTATCCTACATTAGCTATGTCAAAAAGCTATAAATAGCTATGGGGTGACCCACCATCCATGGAACCATGGCTCCACCATGGGCACCTCAGGCTCCGCGATCAAGCCCTGGGAATGTGCATGCAGATCCCCAAGAGATCGCGACATGTTGATGGAAGGCCAGGCCTGTCACGTCCAACGCAGCGCATTGGTCGCCAAGTTTAGTGGAATAACTTGGTGAATTCTAGATGGTGGTTTGGTAGATATGGTAGATGTACATATTGAGAGACAAAGCAACTTATAACTTATAACTGTGGGAAGAACAACCTTTCAGTGATGTTTGCTGCTTGATAAAAACCCATGAAAATGAGGATATATCTACCCTAAACCGTCGAATTCACCAAAGTGAACTAAACCAACTTAGCTAAGCATGGGGCACCAGTTTGTCTAGGAAAACTGGGTTGAAGAATCCCTTCCCCAAAATATTTTTATTGGATCTAATGGGGATATGGAGGGTATAAAAATGATATAAAACATACAAAACCAACTGGGCTGAATCATGGTAGTTCACCAACCTGAAAATTTGGGTAATTTTGGGACAGTTACCAGGTTTTTTTTCCCTAACATTGCCATGTTCACTAAGTATTAGGTTTCTGTATGGCTAACAAGGCATTCACACTATTTTCACCTTAACCTTCACTGGGGAAAATGTTGGGAATTTGGGTAGTCCCCTTCTCGTAAATATTAAATACCATCTATGGCTCCTAAATGGACAGACTCAATACCAAACCAGGGTTTCATTTTGTAATTTTATGTGTATATATATATATAGATATTAAGGGGAATGGATTAAATAAAAAACCGCAGCACCTGTGATTTCCACATGTTGTTTACATCAGCCAGAAACCTTCAGAATTTCGTCATGCGAGAAACTTGTTTGTCTGGTTCCATCACTTGCTGCCTCATCCCAGGTCGGAAGTGGATTAGTTCAACCCAGTTCTAACTGGACATTACCCCTACTTACTAATAAATTACCTACCTGGGGTGAGCTAACCCACAAGGGAGAACCGCCAAGGATTGTAGTAGTCATTGGATCATTATCAATTGCTGGTTATCACAAATATCACCAAAAAATACCATAAATTCATCCTTATTTTCTCAGGCTATAAAGATGATAATTGGGAATTTCTTTTGCCCATGGTCTCCATTTATTTAACCCATGTTTCTGCTGTTGTTCATGCAGAACTCCCATGAAATCTGCGCCTGCTGGTGGCTGTAAACCCGGCAAGTGACATTGGGCTGCTGCCCAACCGAGATGACCTTGGCAGCAAGGAACCACCCGGGTGGTGGTGATTTTTCAATGGGCTATTCATGATTCATAGTGATGAAGAATGGCTATTTTCATGCATGGTTCTTAAGAGTTAATATCCGCCGACCCTGCCGACAGCAGGGGGAGCGCGTCAGAGAAGAGGGGACAAGAAAGGGAGCAAGAAGCTAGAAAGCAACAGGCAAGAGGCAACAGGGGACAAGAGATGGAGCAAGAAGCTAGAAAGCAACACCTTGCGACAGCGATAGCATCTAACTTTGAACCAAATCCAGCCACAACCCGCGCGATCATCCAAAACCCACACTTTGCGACACACAATGGTACATAATCACTTCTTCAACTTCTTCACCTTCTTGGTATTCTTCACTAGCATGCCCATCCCGCAGCATCAGCGGCAGGCACGTCCCTGAAGGATCAGCTAGCAATGCAGAGCGCATTGCCACACCGCTCTTGCTGAAAGTCATCACTCCAATCTGCTGTAAGCGACCACGCACATTACGGTGTGTTTTGCTCCGAGTGCATCGAAAAAAAAAACGTGAAAACACAACCTATTTGACGATTTTGGCTCCTAAACGAATGAGAAAAATAGCTGTGCAGTCAGATGGTTGCAAGATGCACAGAAGTAACACACCAAATCACACTACCAACCTAACAACGACGACGACGACGAGGACGAGGACGAGGACGAGGACGACAACGACGACGACAACGACCACGACCACGACAACAACAACAACAACACCAGCAACAACAAAAACAACAAAAACACCAGCAGAGCAAGCGGGCGACATTCTGAGCAACACCAACAACCTTTGGGGCATCCCCGGTGTGCGAAGCCCTACACTATATATATATTATATATATATAATATAATATAATATAATATAATATAATATATATACAGTATATATACACATATACATATACATATACGTATACATATATACATATACATATATATATATACATATACATATACATATACATATACATATACATATACATATATATATACATATATACATATATACATATATACATATATACATATATACATATACATATATATATATACATATACATATACACATACACATACACATACACATACACATACATATACATATACATATACATATACACACGTATGTATATGTATACGATTAATATGCCATGGCTATAATGAATTTTCCAAATGAATACATAATGGATTCATATGGGATTCGCCATGGGTAGTAGTTAATATATCCCACGGTAATGGGGATTTTTTTCCACAGACTTCACACACAAAATGAATTTCTTTGAAAATGTGGTACCTCAAAACTTCATGGTTTAACATCATTTTCCAGAAACAGATGGCCAGTATATGGTAGTATACCCGATTTTCGGACACATTGCTTGTTGCTTCTATGAGTCTATTCCCATGAGACCCATGAGACGATAAAAAAAAACTGATTCACATTTCTGATGGTTCCCACCATGTTTTCCACATCCACTGAGTCCGGTTCCTGCGCCCCGGTTCTTTCAATTCGACTCCTTTCTTCGGGAAGTTCGGGTTTGTGGTCCCTGGCGCACCAAGATGACAAGGTGCAAACAACCAAGTCCAGTCCCCACTTTCACATGTTTGGTGTATAAAGTACATTCCAATCCTGGGTCCAGGGGTGGTGCAAATCTGGCAACTCTCGTCGAGGTGGATATCCCTGACGATTCTATCAGAGAGTCCCAACGATATGTTCAAATTCCCATGTGGCCTATACTATCTCCACATCACCCAAAAAAAAACATCGCGAAATATCATGGACAAATCCATCATGTCACGTCATATCAGTCATATCATGTCTAGTCTTTTCAACCATTTCCAAGCTGGGGTTCTCCGCGCCTGGTTAGCTCTCTGACCATCCACTGCCCTCCGGGTGGATGGAAGCCCAGAACCGCACGGGAGTCTCCCACATGGGCCACAAAGATCCTGCCGCGTGGTGGGATGATGCGATGCCCATGGGAATCCCCAAGTCCCGGAGCCAGTCCCCATGGCTTCAGCATGCTATACTGGTTGGTGGTATACCTAGCCCTACCCCTCTGAAAAATGATGAATTTCAGTTGGGATGATGACATTCCCAATAATTATGTGGAAAGTCATAAAATTCCATGGTTCCAAACCACCAACCAGTTATCCATGACGAGAACTAAGGGGTTCTAAGCTATACTATAGGACTTTATCCATGACGACTGGATGAGAACTAGGGGCTACCCCTATGATGTAAAGGAAACCACCACGTAACTGAAAGATCCAGAAACCGGGGTTGCCCAAACAAAAATACACCACCCCAAATGCAGCGGTTGATCATCATGTTCCCCCCGTTACAAAAAATGACCATCAGATGCCATAAATTGATATAACCGGGTTGCAAACTGGAAAATGGGTGATTTAGTTTGTGGATTTACCCATGAAAAATGGTGGATCTTTTCATTGTTTTTTCTTTGTTTACCAGAGGGTATAGTTGGGGATGTCCCATTTTCAGACTCATCTGGTGGTTCACATTTGCCCTTCAGCCATGATCCATGGACCTAGTTCTCGGAACTTTGATGTTGACGTTTCCCAATGAAGATCCCCATATTTCTTTGTTTCCCCTTCTGGTTAACATCAGCCATTCAAACTTAGCCATTTACATCATTTACAGATGATGTTTTACAAAAGATGATGTACCATGACCCATAGGATCCATGTATGGTATATATGCTAACATTGGTGGTATATTGATGGTAAATGTTACCATATATAGCATACATGGATCCTATGGGTGATTTTTGACCTCTTCAAAAGGCTGATTTTCCAGTTCGTCTCTTTTTGGCTCCTGTCGTTGGAGAGCACCAACGTTGTGGCCGTCGCACCACTACAACGCGCATCGAAGGAAACCGCCTTTCCGGCCTGCACGACGTGAACTTGCTATGGCCATTGGAGATTTCGTAAAATGCGGGTACCCCAATAGCTGGTTGATGTATGATCCCTCTGTAAATGGATGATTTTTGAGGGTACTCCCATGAGGAAACCTCCAAATGATGATGATGATGATGATGATGATGATGCTGATGATGATGACAATAAGAATGCCCAAAAACAAAGAACATCGGTAGCAATCGTCAAAGTTTTGATCGTTATTTTTTGCTTTGGACTTGGGGGCACCAGCTTTCTCAGACAAACCCAACTGGTGTTTCCTCCCTTTTTCAGCACGCCTCTCCGTCCAATGACAAAGCAGTTAAAGCCTCGACCACAAGATGTTGAATGCCAAAGACTACCCTCATGTAACCAAACGTGGCAACGGACAACTCCCCATGTATAGATGTTTTTATATCATTTTATATAATGATCATCTCCACCAACAAGCAAAAACGTGGGGGGGGGCGGTAATTCTACTATGGTTGATTTGCCCATTAAGACATAAAACCATTTCAAAACTCCATTTTTTGCGTAGGGCACTTTGAATTGCCACCTCTGATTGGAGGATACTTCACAGAACATACTGTCATTGGTTAACGGAAAGAAAGAGAATTAAGTTGACCTGCCCCCGCGAGAAAGTAGATCATGTTTTGATTTTTGATGTTTCCGCTTTTCAAGATAAAATAGGGGGTACTATTGATTTTGATACGGTATTGGTTCCACTAGAAACATTTCAAACCAGCATTTATGGGGGATGTTCGCTTGCGTTTGATTACCGGAGGGTATCATCAAACTTCACTTAAATGGAGGTTTCCTAAAATGGGAGTATTCGAAAAATCGTCCAAAACTAGACCAGTTGAGTCTTGAAAGCCATGATTTTGCGGATCCAAAACGTTTTAAGAACCACCAAATGCCTCTTGCACAACTGGCCTCAGTGAGCCTGTGCATCTCGAGAAATGTTTGAACAGCTGCCTGTCATCTCAGAGGTCAAAGTTGAAGACCCAGTTGGGACCACAGATGGCTTTGTCTACTTTTATCAATGGATTGGTTTAAGTGAAAATCTACAGGAAACCATGGTTTTTACCATCAAATATAGGGTTTTCCTGTAAATTTTCCCATCATCCAATTCCATGATTTTAGCATTCACCAACATTCACCATTTTCCCTCTGGTAAACTGGTAAACGTTAACAAAAAACTATGGAACGATCCACCATTTTTCATGGGAAAATCCACTATAAATGGCAGTTTTCAATCGCTATTGTATGTTAGTTTACCAGAGGGTATTTCTTGGGCTCCCTCATTTTGACCCACTTTTGACAGATCACGGGGGTTGATGAACCCGAACTTTGGGGATTTGAAACATCACTGCCACATCTCTTGGAGATTATGGTGACATCCCCACTTTTTGGATGTGAAAAGATGTGACATTTTGTATCCCATAGGATCCATGTATGGTATATATGCTAACATTGGGGGTATATTGATGGTACATGTTACCATATATAGCATACATAGATCCTATAGGTATGGGAATCAGAACCAAGGCCTGTATCACTAGGGGTTCACCGTCATCTCCGATGAAGACTTCGACCACAAGTTTGGTGTGTAAAAATGGCAGTACCACAGTAGTGAATCATGAGGTTCAAATTTCCTCAATTTTGCTGCTGTTCAGATCTATTGAAATTGAGTTTTGAAAAAGGCGAGCTAGGAGCTTTGGTCTCAACAACTTGGACCATTGGAACACCCATGGGAGCCGTTTGAGTTTTTGACCCATCGTCCAAACGGGTGATGGTCCAGGAGGATTGGTTGCTGAAAAATAATGGGTTTTCCTAGGGCTATTTTGGTGGGAACCCATGACCAATAGATTCTCCATTTCGAAATCTCCCCATATGAAACAACCCCCAGAAAGATCCAGAACGCATGGCTTGTTCGGATGAAACCACAGACTGGGACCATACCATAGGGCTCTTTTTGAAGGTCACGGGATGGGACGACCAGGATCAACCAGTTCTCTCCTCGCACCACACATCGCTGAGAGCAGCCGCTGCCTGCCAGTGATACCCAGGGCCAGGGCCATTTTCAAACCATGTGCTTTCGACATCTTTCGACAATTCGGCACCATAACATGACCATCATGATTTGGGGATGGGTCAAAACCCTGGTACCGTGCCGTGAACCCCAAGTCATAGCTGGGATTTATGGATGTTCATCCCACTAAAAATGGTATTAATAGGTATTGATCCATACCCATTTTCTGACACTTTTCTGTCTCGCCTCTTGAGGGTTTCTCGCTGCGTTTGGGACTCCTGACTCCACCCCGCCGGTTCGTCAACGGCGCGGCACGGTGCGGTGGCAAACACCCAACGAGGCCCTTGGGCCCTTAAGGACGCCCTAAAAAGCTGGTCATTCTGAGGTGTTCCGAGTCATTCAGAGTGGGAACCAAATTGAATTCCCACAGGTAAGGAATATCTGATCTTTTTCCAGTAACAATTAATGTAATTACTGTAATCAGCATGAAATTCATCAACTCGAAATGCACAAAAAACTGCAGTCACTCTTGAATCATCATCCCACTGTAGTAAGTAGCTTAGTTCACCCTAGTCATAAGATGTCATAAGTGGATTAACCCTACTTCTCCCATTGAAAACCGCATCCCCAAAAAATTCTGGGGGGTCCTAAGTCATAGGGCTACCCCAAAGATCATCCAGGTGGGACCGGTAGGATGTTCTACCTGCCGTCCTGGTGACATTCCGCTCTCCACCCGCGCCACGTGCTGCAACAGCAGCTTGGGCAAGACCTCCACCGAATGCCAGGTGCTTGAAACATGAAACCAGTCGTTTAAACAGGAACTAGATCAGTATGATATAATATACTAACTATATAGTAACTATAGTAACTATAGAACTATATCCAACTAGATCTATCAGACTATGATATATACTATAGTAACTAGGTCAGTAGCACTATATCCAACTACTGTATATAATATTCAATCAGACATACTATGATCGAATTTTCGCGAATTGGCCCCCGATCTGGCCGAAAAAAAAACATCGAAGAAATGGCTCCGCCTCGCAACAGACTTCGGCAACGTCATGGCCCACCTCGCGAAGGATCCATGGGGATTTCGATGTTGGGAAGCCCATGGAAGCCCCAAAAACCCGCGGAGTCGTAGGTTGGAACTTTCAAAACAGTCTGCCATTGGATCCCCAGTTCCAAAACCACAGCCATTGCTAGGTGGGTCATGACTGGGTACCCCATGGTCCCAGGAACCGGGTCCACCAGGTCCACCTCTCCGTGACCGTCACAAAGAGTGAGCAGCTCGACCTTTCCAAAGTTCACGATGGATGCCCTGTCCTGGGGCGATGAAGCCAAAAAAACCCATCATTCAGAGGTGAAGTTAAGAGTTTTTGTGCCATGGAAAAACGTTCACACCACAAATTAAGGTTACTGTAGCCTTTGGCAAAAGTGTCTAGAGTTAAAACCTCCTAAAATCAGAGGCAACGGTTTTATCCCCAATTTTTTTAATCGGTTCTACAACCCCCGACCAATCAACGGTGCTCCTGATTGGGCGCCGTCGACTTGTTCCCCTTGAGGGAAACCATGAAGCAGTTGTACAGCTGCAAGATCTGGAATCGGCATCCAAAAAGGACGATCCAGTCCAACAACGTTCCCAGGTTCCGAGCGAAGTTCGTGGTTTTATTGAGCTGTGAGTGTATATAATATAAGGTATATATGCATATAAAAGGTGTAAAGATATACAAATATAGATATAGACGATTTTTTTGGCGGCTGAGTTCTTTCTCGTGCCAGCGTCTTGCAAACCTCACCTGATAAGGTATAGAAGATGTGTATATATATATACACATACATAAATACCATGTTTCTGTAAACCCCAAAGCAACTTGTTCATCATCACCCATCATCATGAAATCTGCCATCCACCGCTGCGCCGTGTGTTTTTTCCGTTGCCGTGCCTGCTGGGTTTGGGGCTGTGACAACGGCTGCTGCACCTGTCCTGACACTTCAGCAGTGGGTTGTCCATCCAAAATGGTGGCTTTAATGGGGAAAAACATGGAAAAACGATCAAAGTTTGAGGTAGCCCATTTGTAGACAAACTACCATATGGTCATCGAAAAAATCTCCAATTGATGTGACATTGCCCATCCCATTCATTGGGATCTTCATGGGCATTGGGAGATCATCAGCCGACATGCCCAGCTTGGGAAACGCACCACTGGAGAGTCATTGCTGAGTCATATGAGTTGATTAACCAACCATAGTTCTACCTGAAAGTTACCCTCTGGTAAACATACAAAAAGCTATTGAAAATGGGTGATTTATAGTGGATTTACCCATGAAAAATGGTGGTTTTCCAAAGTTTTTTCTATGTTTCCCAGAGGATATACCCACTCATTTCATTAATTAATAAGCCCAAATAAATGGTTGATAGCCACTGTCATTATGCCACTTAACCATAATTCCTCATTATTAGATAATATTACCATATATTTAAATACCCAGGTATCTACCAATAACTATACCTGGGTTAGAACTAAGGCATTACCCAACCTGGGTATCTAAATTATACCGTTATACCTATAATTATAGTTATACCTTAGTTATAAACCCAGGTATGCCAGGTGCCACTTGGTTTCGCACCTTGCTGTGCTACGTTGGCCTGCACCTGCCAAAAGCGAAGTTTCCGAACTCGCTCGGAGCAAGGGGAACTCGTCTGGGTCAGAATTGAGGCATTGACGTTATCCTAATGGGTTATGAATTACTAATTACTAATAGTGATAATGACTAATTGATAACCTAGTATAATTAATTGTACTACAGTGATAATATAATTTATGATAATTATACTAATAGTGATATTATGATAATTACCAATAGTGATATTATGATAATTACTAATTATACTACAGTGATAATTTAATTACGTACTGATATAGTGATTCTAATGGGTTATTAATCAATAATGGATTGTTCGTCAATATAATGGATGATTCAACATAATTATTAGTAATTATATCGTAGTGTTATCACTATTCTCAGAAGAAATTCATAGTACTGGGTTTGTCTGAAAATTTAGGCGAAAACCCCAACAAAAATGATGGTTCATCATTATTTTGCGTATTCAAACGGCTATTTTGGGGAATGCCCAACCTTCAGATACAGCCACGTGACAATACCAGACTAATAATGATATTAATGTCTTGCCGGTCAATGAGCGACTTCTGAACCTATGTTATTATGTCTATAATACTGTGGAAGAATTCCTGCACCAGTTGATAAATGGTAGAAATTCCATGATGTTCTTCGGCTTTCAACCATCGAGGTCGGTGCGAAAAATCGGATTTCGCTGGCCCGTCCAACGTCACTATAGTCCGATCCTCTCGATCCAGCGGATCCGACAAAATCCCGACCTCGTCATCCACCTGACAGGCAGCCAGCCATGGGAATTGATCATGGGGAGGAACCATCTTTTGATGGGCGATTTTTGGGATTCCCTCTGGTCATCCTCTGGTCATGTGGAAACATTGGGAGAAACACATGGATTTTTTAGCATGAAAGATGAGGAGAAAAAGGTGAAACAAAAACTGATCAATGACGATATACCCCTGGGTATATGAGTGACATAGCTATGAACAACCACCAGGTTTTACAGGTAAACCGGTAAACCATCAAACGGCCCATGGTTCCACAGCAAACTGTAACATATTACCACAGGGCCAAACCCAAACTGGCCAAAGCCATACGCTTCACTCTTAATCCCAACTTTTGATGCTTAATCCTACCCATTGCACAACTGGATGTGGTCCATCTTCATCTCATCGTTCATCCATGTTCATCCATTGAATCGCTATCTGAGTCCCCAGAAATTTCCACAAAATCCAACCTGACCCAAAAAAACACATCGCCGTTGCCTTCAGGAACGGCGCCCGTGCGGCCAAGAACGGGCTCGCTTGCCCACCCGGTGTATCCGGACGCACCGTGGGTGTCGTCCGGGCAAACCTGGACCAATAACGAGTGGCATGAAAAATGGATTCAACACTTTGGAAGAATATGTGGACAGTAATAGTTATCATCATCATCACCATCATAATGAGGAATAAATAAGAATAATAACAAGAAAAATAATCATAGTCATCATCATCATCATCCTCATCATCATCATCCAATAATCATCCAGTAATGATCCAATAATCATCCAGTAATGATCCAATAATCATCCAGTAATGATCAATCCAGTGTCCACCTCTCATTGCCTAAAATTCGGAATTCAGTGCCCCACCATGGTTCATCGAATCCACTTCGACTCATGGGCTTCAGCCTGGCGATCCCACCATGGTGGAGGATCAAGGATCATACAACCTGCAAAAATGATCAGCAGCACCCTCTGGTTATGACTAACATATCCATGGTTTTTCCATGGCCCTAATCGAAATAGATGGTTTACCTATGAAAAAATGGTGGATCTTTCCATGGCGAACTGTTAAATAACCACATGGTAACATTATCATTGTCATAATCAGTAATGATAATATGTAACAATGATGATAATCAGTAATGATGATAAGTAATGATCAGTAACATTCTCATTGCCATAATCGGTATTAATGATAATCAATAATGATGATCATGAGTAATCATGATGATAAATATTATATATCAAACACATTAAATAACAATATGTAACAATGATAACTATGAAGGAAATCAGGAATGTTTATTAGCAATGATAATGATAATCAGTGATGATAATTGCTTGAGAATCCTCATCATTATCATAATTGTCAAGATTTAATGATCTTCCGATCAGATTTTCGCTGGCAACAACTGCTAAGTTGCCGCCACCCAAGGTGACACCAATGGACAAAGGGAGTGTGTCCTTTGTCAAATGTTGCCCGATGATGGATGCTAATTGGTGGCTTTAACCATCTTGAAAAAATGATGGAGTTCGTCAGTTGGGAAGGATGACATCCCATATATGAAATGGAAAATAAAATTCATGTTTGAAACCACCAACCAGGTTTATTCTAGTTTATGCTAACGCCGCCCGTAGAGACGCGGGTTTTTTTAACGTTTTTTTACTGCGTTCATACTTTTTGTGGGTTGTCTGGGTGGGGGGGTGGGGTGATGTTAATGTTCCTTGGAAGCGTTACGTGACATACGCTGGGGTTGGGGTGGGGGGGGGTGGGGTGATGTTAACGTTCCTTGGAAGCGTTACGTGACATACGCTGGGGTTGGGGTGGGGGGGGTGGGGTGATGTTAACGTTCCTTGGAAGCGTTACGTGACATACGCTGGGGTTGGGGTGGGGGGGGGTGATGTTAACGTTCCTTGGAAGCGTTACGTGACATACGCTGGGGTTGGGGTGGGGGGGGTGGGGTGATGTTAACGTTCTCCAGTAACTTACTTCTGAGACGAGGTTGATGCTACGTTGTAACATCTTGTCTACATCTTCTCACAACTAACTTCGGATACGCTCTGGATGCTACGTTGTAACATCTTCTCTCCAGTAACTTACTTCTGAGATTGATGCTACGTTGTAACATCTTGTCTACATCTTCTCACAACTAACTTCGGATACGCTCTGGATGCTACGTTGTAACATCTTCTCTCCAGTAACTTACTTCTGAGACGAGGTTGATGCTACGTTGTAACATCTTGTCTACATCTTCTCACAACTAACTTCGGATACGCTCTGGATGCTACGTTGTAACATCTTCTCTCCAGTAACTTACTTCTGAGACGAGGTTGATGCTACGTTGTAACATCTTGTCTACATCTTCTCACAACTAACTTCGGATACGCTCTGGATGCTACGTTGTAACATCTTCTCTCCAGTAACTTACTTCTGAGACGAGGTTGATGCTACGTTGTAACATCTTGTCTACATCTTCTCACAACTAACTTCAAAGCCTTTGGCAATGGACCTACAGCTGGCAGTACAGATACAACAATGGCAAAGACCTTTGGACAGCTGTGCCACATGTCCTGAAGCACATCAGAAATGCCTGAGTGCAAAACAGCCCGCGTCTTTACGGGCGGCGTTACCTAGTTTATACTTAGCCAGTCCATCTATGGTCACTTAGGGCTGAACAAAGAAAAATCACCCCTCAGTGGCCGCCTTTCGCAGAGAGTTTCGTCGTGCATACACCAGTTTCCTGACAAAGCCTCGCCGATAAAAAGTTGCCGATCCAGTGGGTTCACCAGTTGCCATGGATTCTGAAGCCACAGGGAAACAATTCGGAAAATTTTCCTGGGGGCTTCCTGCTAAGCTGGAAAAAAGAGCTGCGCATGTTCGGCTGGAAAGAAAATTCAAAAAGTCAAGTGAAAAGTCAAACAAGTATACTTTTCGACTTTTTGTTTTTCGACTTTTCGAAATTGATGTTGCATACTTTCCGCCTGGAGCCTTGCAGCACACCTGTCCTACCCAGGGTTGCTGAAATGGGGGTACCCCACTATGGACTGTTTATAATGGAAAATCCTCAAAATCCTATTAAAGTGCATGGATGATCTGGGGATACCCCTATTTTAGGAAACCCCCAAATGGAAACAACCATTGAAGTGTCTGGTTGCTTAAGGGTTCCAGGGACTACTTTTTGCTGACATCAAGAGAATATGTCATCAATGAATTCATCACAAGACTGATGCTCTCCGGTATTTATGTTGAAGTGAGCTGACTGGCAAACACAATGCTTAATAGATTATTCATCGAACATAATGAGCCATGTCTTCCAATTCGCAAACTGTTAGTTCCCAGGTATCTAAGATCATCTACGCTAAAATCATACTTTAAAAAAAAAAAAAACGATGATCTTCTATACTCTACGCCATGACGGATCCATGGTGCTGGTATATATGCTAACATAAATGGGATATATTGATGGGATCCATGGCACACCATATATAGCAGCACCATGGATCCGTCATGGGTACCATATCGCCAGGGCACATCGACCGAGCTCATCAGGTTCTGCCATGTCGATGCCAAGCCCTTCTGCATACTCTCCATCCAGGGCTCACTTTCACACGCCTGCAGGAAAGTCGAATAACTTTCGAAAAACAGCTTGCAGCTGAAGCATCGAACCATAGGGGCCCACTTACCCTCTGGTAATGACTAACATGGCTATGGGACTAACAGTTTGCTATGGAAAGATCCACCATTTTCAATGCCTAAATCCATAAATATCAATGGCAATTTTCCAGTTCGCAAACTGTTAGTCATTACCAGGCCGGGTATTCCTTGGGCTGAACCATCGGGTAAAAAAATCGTCCAATTTCTCGAACATCATCCTGATTCGGGCTTTCGTCGGACATTTCCAAGTGGAGATGGTCGAAATCAGAGAAAAATCATTGAACATCTGCCATGAATACCTCCATTCATGGAGGATTTATAGGGATTTTTTTCCCATCAAAACCTCCAAATTTATAGCAAATGTTCCTATAATCAAACCTCCTTTTTGTAGATGGTCCCGTTTAAACCTGCACTTAGGGAGTTGCCACTGCCACGTTTGATTGCCAGCTTGCCAATTACATCATTCCAAAGAGTTTTTTAACAAAAAATATGGGGATTTTTTAGACAAAATGCTGACTTTACTCTCTGGTAAACTAACATAGCTATTGAAAATGGCCATTAATAGTGGATTTTCCCATTAAAAATGGTGATTTTCAGTAGCTACGTTAAACTACCAGAGGGCACCACAAAAAAAATGGCGATGTCGTACCTTGTGCATGTTTTTTTTGTGTTGAAAAACCCTTCCAGTCCCGCCATTGACAGCGCTCTCGCTGCGCACAGATTTTCCCGGAGCCAGGTGGGGAAAATCCGGCATCTGCGCGACACTGGTGCAACGTCAGGCACATGAGGTTGAAAAAAATGTGATGTGAGCAATGTGGTCTTTTACATGGATTTACCCAATACCAAAAACCTAGGATTTTTGTTGGATGGTTTATATACACAAACCATGAAAATGGTGATGGCTTGGGGATATCTGGGGGATATGGTTTGGTTTACCACATTTAAAGCATGGTAATCCAGAAGTTATGGATCATCTTTGTTCATTTGTCCATTCGAAGTCTGAAGACCCCATTGCATCTCCTGCATCCTCCCACCAATAGATCCCTATTATATGAAACCCAATATGAAGAGATCCATCAGCATTTTGGGATTTCTTTGGTGTTTATTCACGGCGGGATGGGATTATATACTGCAAACTGCACACCTTTTGCCTCAGACCCTTTGCACCACATGAAGAAGACTTCGTCTGAGATTGCCTATTGCAATGCGACTTCGTCTGGGATTTTTTCCACTGAAATGTCGCAACTCTGGTAATTACGATGGTTTTGAGGCCACCAAGCTGCAATTCTGATGCATCTCGTTTCAAGACTTCAGGATGTATTTCTGCTGGGGAAGGTGGTTGACCTACCCCTCTGAAAAATATTATATAGTCAGTTGGGATTATGACATTCCCAATATATATATATATGGAAAAATAAAAAATGTTCCAAACATTTCCAAACCACCAACCAGTCTGTGTTGGTTTGGCCCTAAGACGAAGCTGCATCTGATCTTCATCGCACAGGACGGTGGTGGGGACTCCACTTCCTACAGCAAGAACTTGGGCGAGCTCGACTCAGCCTGACTGGTTTTCCAGTGTCATCCAGTGTCATTATGACATAGCCTGAGTGTACCGTCGCTTCTGCGGTGGGGAGACACCCTGGTTTTTCTTATCATTCCTTCCCACACAATGGGAACAGTCCCCACATTCACATGTATGAATTGGAAACGGGATCGTCAAATGCCCAACTTTTACCACGGCAGCGCGGTATGACTCAAGGGCCCTAAAGCCAAATGTCAACGGGGCATGTGATCACTTGGCTATACAAAATATACATTAGACAGGTCAAACTCACACTCAACCTGTTCTTCAAGGATCACATGATGCTAGTGAAAAAGTTGGCTCTAAGGCTTCTTCTGTACACGGTAAACGCACTCCTTCAAGACGCGGATAATGAGGTCCGGGCGCATGCTCTTGGTCAGAGCATCCGAGACCATAGTTCCTGTAGCAATCCAGGTAACAATGTCTCCTCCGCCATGATGCATATCCCAGGTCCTCCGGCCGTCTTGCCAAAGTGACTCATGAATCGACTGCAACTCAATGCCGAGTCGTTTGTCTGCGACCCTGCCGAGTACCTCATTCGCAAGATGGTCTGTTAGAGACCTGCAGTCTGAAAGCATCAGTTGTGGAATACAGCTGCGGCTGTCATCCAACCATGTTTTCATCGAGTCAAGTTGGCCCATCAGTTCGGCCAATGCTCC